CGTATGCTCTTGGAACACGAGCGCACGAGCGATCTCATACCAGAAATCCTAAAAATGTGCGTAACCGCAGAGCCTCTTACAGGCGCCGTCTCCAACAACATGCAGCAAGAGTCATGATGATGATGATGATGATGATGATAACGACAGTATGGCGATGATGGCTATGACTCTGGCGCATGCACATAACGAGGAGGGGCGAAGATAGCTCCCGAATGACTTCAACGAGATTGAAAAAATCCATCAGGGTTGGGTGGTGCCTTGAGCTTCCCAAACACAATGAGCACATCAGTCTTGGAAGTTGCTTCGCTTGGTAAATTGAGATCCTAAATTTTAGGCCCTACACCCTAGTCCCTTAGCCGAGGCACCATGATGATGGGCAGCACTTCCAAAGAATACGTCTTGCGCAGTGTTCGCAACACGTCAGTCCCAGACAGTCCTGGCAGTCAATTTTGTTGTGCAGCTTGCAGGGTGGTATGGCGCAGTGCTTCTTTCGGAAAACATTTTCAGCTGACGTCTTGTAGAAAAACCTCAGATTTGAAGCCTGCACAAGGGTTTTGTTGATTCCCTGCATGTGTCTAAATCAAGCTTGAGGATACTGAGCTCGCTCTTGGGCAAAACATCACCCGTTCTTGGGCTTTTGCCGCTGCTGCTGCCTCGGGGAACAGACCGCCATGTATCCTTTGCATCCATCGTCTCCTTGCTATACCTTTCCCGACCCTCGCCTCTCCTTTCTTCGCCTTGCTTCTATAGCGGTAACATTCGACTTTTACTGTTTCCGTTACATCCTACTGTCTTCAAAAGGCGCAGGGCGGCGGGGAATCAAAGAATGATGAGATAAGGATCTATCAATAAAGAATCGAAATCGGTGATCAAAAATCTAAATGAGAATCAACAAGAAATCAAAATGAGGGAATGTCTCGGCGCTTTACGCGAGAGCTCAACATTCCCAGGGATGTACTACGCCAGATTGGGCAGCGGTTCCAAAACGTGAGAATGCTCGACGTGAGAGCTCGATTGAAGATGCAAGGATGTTCTACATGAGACAGAAACCTGCAAGTGCGACAAAGGGTCCAGCATGTGAAAACCCCGGAACAGAAGAGCTCTACAATGTTTGGAATGGATAGGACAAGGTTTCATCAAAAAGCGGCATGGGGCGGCGCAGCCATCGCATTTGCAAATTTGTTGATGATTCACGATTAAAATGATACAGGTCGATGTTCAAAAAGGGTAGGGCGGTTGGAGGAGGCGCAGCCTTCCCCCATTTGCACACCATTGAAGCATTTGATAGCATTTGGCAGTTTTGATGAGGATTCATTACTAGACATGATATGGGCTCATGTTCTTGATGGCAAACGATTGCAAATGATGAAAACGATGAAGCGTGATGCTTCATGAAGCTGCATGATAAAGATTATTCGGACCAAAATGATGAAATTGTTGACGTGGGATGAAAATGGCGGAAAAAATCATGCAGTGTGATGACAATGAGCAAATGTCACGGAATCTGACGAAGACGTGTAAAACAACAATCATGGAATGTGATGGAGATGAGACGTCACGGAATAAATGATGGAAAATGATGCAACGTGATGAAAAACATGACAAATCATGGAAAATGATTACTTGATGAATTCTGATGATATATGATGAAAATGAAACGTGATCAAACGCTAAGAAAAGAAATGAAACATGCTGAAACGCTATGAAGTATGATGAAGAAGTATGAATGGCAACCAAAGCGCTGAAAAACGGTGAGAAAAGAATGAAAGCAACTATGAAAACGTGTGAAGCATGATGAAAACAATGAGAATGATAACAAATTCTGAGAACCATGAAAATGAGGAAACCTTGAAACACAATGAGACGGATAAAACATGATAGAGCATGCGTAGGACAAAATCCTATGCAACATGATGAAAAGCGCGTGGCTTATGCTTGAAAATGATGACATGTGATTAAAAAAAAAAATCATGAAAATGATGGAGATGGTGAGCAATGATGAGAACGATGGAAATGATAAAATATGGTAAAAATAAAATGTGACGAAAAAAGGATGGAAAACTGCATAACATAACAGAGAGTCATGAAACGCGATGAAACCTGCTGAAAAAAAATCGGCATTATCGAATATATATATATATGTATATACATATACATTCCTGCCTTCCGTCCTTCCTTCATTCCTTCCTTCTTGCCCTTGTCCTTTCCTCCGTCCTTCGCTGCTTCTTCCTTACTGCCTGTCCTGACTTATGTTCTGTTACCCCGGCATGGAAAAGGATGCGTTTGGTTTCCAACATGTTGATTTCTTAACAATCCTTATTTGATTGTATTCATCAGGGGTCCACATCCCTGAAAAAGGCAAGGCGAGCAGCGAGAACGAGTTTCAAGGTCGTTCCGCCGGCCTTCTGCAGCTTACACTGGCGAGTCCCATCTTGTGTGCTTTATGTTGCTGGGCCGGATGCAGTCGTGTCTCTGCGCTCCCGTGCTTCTATGTACAAAGCACTTTAAGTCATCACTTCTCTGGAAGCCAAGCCTTCTTCCATATGCTCTGTGAACTCTTCTGGTCCACATCCGGCATGGCCGTCGGCCTATGAATCTCATTAAGCCCGTCAGATCTCCTAAAAGAAGACAAACTTACAAAAAATGCACATTGAAAAGGGAAGGCCATCAGCAGCTTGATGGCATCGGAATCCTGCCCGTAGATGACAAATGAGTTGCAAAGGCAATACGCACGTACCTTTTTTTGTTCCCCTTCTGCTTACCCTCCTCATCCCTCCTCCTTGCGCTTGCCATGCCCCGTGCTTTTATCATTTCTTCTGTCTGCCGATGGGTCCTGGCATCATGACTTCCATGAGAATGAGAGCTGGCGGCGGATGTTCACGCATGTAGCTCAGCGCTTCCCCACCATGGGTGGCCACCTCAGACGCCACAGAGCTGCACTGCATTGCTTACTGTGCACACGAACCACGTTGCATCCGCGTGGTCAACCATCCCATAATCCTGGATTTATGGGACTCCAGGTGAAGAACCCCTCAAAGTCCGCAGGAAACCCAGCCCAGTATCAAGCAACGACTCCACCCTTTCCTTTGCATGGCCCCATGTCGCGACATGCAGTCATCACCGGGCCTCTATCTTGTATTTGCTTGACCGAAGCAGGGATGACATGACCTGCTGGTTGACCATATCATCATCCACCTGTAGCTGCTTCAGGCCAACTTCTGCATCGCAAGTGCATATCAGCGCTTTTCAAAGCTCAAAGCTGACGAGCAACATCTTTGAAACAAGAAAACTCCACCCTCAACAAGCCCAGACATAGAAGATCTGAAGATGGTTTCCCAGCCATTCACACAGCTCAGCTGTCTCACAAAGTGCTTGACAAGGCGCTGACAGTACAACCCACGAGTCGTGACCGCCCAGCATGTTCCAAGCGGCCTCACCGCCTTCTTTCGTAGTCCTTCCTGCAGACGATATGAGGATGATGCTGGGAGTGGTGATGCTGGTGGCGCTGGTGGTGGCGGGGGCTGTGTGGGGAGGAGCTGCTGCAGGGGCGGCTGCTGCTGCTGCTGCTGGCACTGCTCGTATTGGCATGGCAGCTCTTGGTGCAGGTGGTAGTTATTACCCAGGTGGTGGCTGTTGGGGCATCTTCTTTGTACTAGTCATAGCGACGTCACAGTGGCAGCAGTAGAAGAAGCAGAAGTACAAGTCAAGGAAGAGAAAACATGACTTCTTTCATCGCGCATTGGCGCTAAGATTGGCAATAATGAGAAGCCCTTCTTGAGGTGGGTTTGGGCGAAGGCGGCATCGAAGAGATGGCGGTGCGGTTGCTGCGGGGAGATGCCATGCGGTAGGGACTTGTAGGTACATTAAACGTTAGCCACCAGGACAATTTACGTAGGGTTGTTTACGCGCTCAAGCATGTATGGGACACTCGCAACAGGAAGACGTGTGAACAGGCCAGGAAGCATATCTTCCAAAAACCTGAAAGACCCACACAGATGATGGCGAATCATCTCTGCCTTCTTAGTCCTGCATGCAGTCTGAGACAAGCTGCTGGCAACACATGAGTTTTTGTCTAAACTCCTAGTAGCCCCCCTTGATCACCCCAATAATCCCCTATATAACCCCATTTAAGGAGTTTAGACCCTAAACCCTACATACTCCCCTCTAGTATAACCCACATGAAACCAGGAAGAGCCGAAACACTATAAACCCTAAACCCGATAAACCCTAAACCCGATAAACCCTAGACCCTATAAACCCTAGACCCTATAAACCCTATAGACCCTAAACCCTATCAAACCCTATAAACGCTAAACAGCCTGTCTTCATTCGGATGGAGGCCATCCTCTGCTTCTCGACTTCAGAGACTTGACCTCAAGCACTTATAGTCCCCCCCCCTAAGTAGATAGAATATGGGTTTCTATAAGGGTTATATAGGGTTTAGGGTTTAGGGTATAGTCCCCCTTAAGTAGATAGAATATAGGTTTATATAGGGGTTATATTAGGGGAAAGGGTTTAGGGTTGAGGGCATAGTCCCCCTCAAGTAGAAAGAATATGGGGTATATTATTGGTGTTCTTTATAGGGATAATGGAAAAGAAAATGGAAACTACTGTATGATAGGTATATGTTGGTGTTACAGTCCCCCTTTAGTAGATAGAATATAGGTTTATATAGGGGTTATATTAGGGTAAAGGGTTTAGGGTTGAGGGTATAGCCCCCCTTAAGTAGATAGAATCTGGTGTACATTATTAGTGTTTTTTCGGGATAATGGAAAAGAAAATGGAAACTACTGTATGATAGGTATATTTTGGTGTTACAGTCCCCCTTTAGTAGATAGAATATAGTTTTATATAGGGGTTAGATTGAGGTAAAGGGTTTAGGGCTTAGTGTATAATCCCGCTTAAGTGGATGGAATATGGGGTATATTATTGGGGGTATAAATAGGGATAATGGGAGAGAAAATGGAAACTACTATATTATCATAGGGTATATTGGGGTTATAGTTCCCCTTAAGTAGATAGAATATGGGGTATATTATTGGGGCTATAAATAGGGATAATGGAAAAGAAACTGGAAACTACTATATTATAATAGGGTATATGGGGGTTATAGTCTCCCTCAAGTAGATAGAATATGGGGTATATGGGAATCTTGTTACAATATACCCAAAGCCACATTGTATCTACTTAAGGGTGACTATACTACCCCAATTTAGGGAATACTGGAAAAGCAAATAGAAACTACTACAGTATAGTAGGGTATGTATTGGGGTATTGGGGTTAGTGGGGAATAAGGGCGCATATTGGGATAATATAGGGGATAATGGAAAAGAAAATGGAAGCTACTATAGTACAAGAACTTTCTGGAAGAGTTTCGGCAGCGCATGCTCTCTGGTGATTCATCGTGATTCATGATGCCCAAAAGATTTACTGAATGTTCCCGACCCCTGTCATTGTCCTTCTCTTCTTGTCTTAGTTTTGACCCTGTCTCCAAACTCCGGGCCCCCAAAAAAAAGAGAAAATTCTAGACGGCCAGCTTGCCGCAGAATGTGAGAGAAGAGTGTAACATTTGGAGACATCTGCAGCCCCAGACAGTGAGCAACGCCCGAGCACGCAAGCCAAAGACATACCCGATCGCTTGCAATCTGTCTAGTAAAGCAGGGGCACGGGATGGGAGCAGACCAACAGATGCAGGCATTTTCACAGGCATAACACTCATACTGCAAAATGCTTCGTTTCCCCGCAGTGGGGCTCCTTTTGGTACAGATGCCGACTTTACCACCGATGATGCTGAAAACAGAGCTGCGAAAATTGCCATGACTCGCGAACAAGATCTGAAGTTGCGCTTCGGCAAAGCGTCATGAATGCGTGGGCATACCGCCCCGCGGACGTTGCAGCCCCATACCAAGCAGTCAAATCGTCCAAGCAAGAGGCTTCCAAGTCAGGTCTCGATCAATTCTGGCATACTCTTGTCCAGGCAGGAATGCATGCGCAAAGCTGAAACGTGGCTGAGACTCCCAGGAGGAAGGCTGCACGTTGCAAGCATAATGAAGCATAATCTTACCTCGGCCAACTCTTCCAAGGAACGTCCAAAGCTTGCCCGTGAGGCAATCGAGGCCACACTTTCGGAGGTTATCGAATCCAGCCTGAGTTGCTGAGAAGCTACTCAAGGTGATTGCCAGGCCTGTAGACGTGACTCACACTCACTTCCAGCTGCTGACAACCAACCGGCCCTGCTCGGGGGGGTTCGTACGACCTGAGGCATCGAGGATGTTTGCTGACATGTGATAGGCATCCTCAATTTGAAAGATTGCAGGGGACTCAGGGGTCTGGGGAACCGACAGTCCAGCTGAATGTCATCCGGGTCAGCGACGGAGGTGGTCTGCCAACTGCTGATGTTGCTCGTTCTTAACACCCCTGCAGACTTGAACACATTAAAAAATTCTCGCGCAATGCGTATGGTAGTTTCCCGAAATAAGGGGCCCCAATATGAACCCAATATCTTATAATCCTTATATAGGGAACCCCAATACGGTACCCCTGATATTAGGAAACCTCCATTGAGAAGTTCCAAGGAGGTTCGGGAGCCTCAGGAGCCTCGGGAGCTGGTGATGGCTGCGAGTTGGGCAACGGCTGACCACCAGCGGCACCATCCTCCGTGTCCGACTGCTCCTGCATAGCAGACGGATGCAGACGGGGGTGTCTCGGCGTGGGAAAGCCCAGGCCTTGTTATCCAGAAGCGGGAGCACGGAAGACTTCATCCGGTACGGCAGCTTCACCCGGAAGGTCGAACCTTTGTTTTTGTGGCTGGTGACCTCAGAGCCGTTGCGAATCTCACCTACATGTATGCAAAGAGTACTCGTGCGTTGAAACCTAATGAAACCAAAAGCGAGGACCACCTGTAAATGGAGACGTATGTACGTACTTATGCATGTATGTATGTATGTATGTATGTATGTATGTAATGCATGCAAGTAGGTAGTTATCTATCTATCTATCTATCTATCTATCTATCTGTCTGTGTATCTGTGTATCTGTGGTTGCTGCTGTTTTACGTTTTGGTCGGTCTTCCAGTGTGCTTTTCTTGACATTGACTCTTCATACATTTGGTAGACCTAGCTAGTAGCACGATCATGACCACTGATGATGCAATCGCCACGAATTGCCGCTCTCATCATCGCCATTGCTATACTACATCTACTGCTGCCTTTTCATGATTTGCTTGATCACCAATGTTCCGGAAGGTTCCCCTGGTCAGTCTTATGCCTTGCTTCGTCTTCTATGTAAGAGAATTGGACAAGTTGATGCACAAACCTCAAGAAACCCAACCGAAGCCAAACAAGAAAACCAATCCCCCAGGACATAAGCCACAACGAGCTAGCCTGTGTTTCAACGCACAAAGCAATGAAATGCCCTGGTTAAGGCTTGTGCAGCGGCACCATGGGAATGTCAAAGCCTCGCTAAACCGGTAACCATCCCAAACATGCCAGGGTCACTGTAAGACTTCCCCCATGCTTTGCCACAATCTGCCGACAGATTGCCAACCCAAGACCAAGGCCTGACGAACGGCTGATTCGCCGCTTGGCTCCCGGAAACTACTTGGAGGGTCAGGGGGACTTAGTAAGTAGGTTCATAACCCCTATAACCCATATAGGAACCCTAAATATCACTATTATTAACCTACTTACTAAGTCCTCCTGACCCTCCAAGTATTAACTATTAACAACAGGATACGTTTGCTGGCGCACGGGTGAGGTCTTTGAGGAGACTCAGACCGTGCGATCTGCAATCGACCCTCAACGTCTGCTCAAAAGGCGCTGCTCCCTCCTTAAAGGGGATTATATAGGGGATTATATAGGGTTTAGGGTTTAGGATTCCCACCCAGCCTTCATAGTGTCGCTGCTCGGAACCTCGAGCTGTTGAATTTGAATGAGAAATGAGCCAACAACGTGGTGCAGCAAGAGGCTTTCACAGCTGGTCCCGTCTTGGGCCTTTCATGGCCTGACTGAAACCCATTGTGCCAAAATTCTGAACAACTCCTGAAAACTCATGGGATCCAAATTCACCTGTCATACGTGTGACCATCAGACCCCGGTCCGTCTCGTCTTATCTTCGAATCATCTTGAGCCCTTTCCCTGCGATAGAAAGTTGGCTCAAACAATCAAGAGTCCCATGTCAGCCTCTCCTCTGACTTAAAATCCAAGGAAAGCAATAATATGGGCATGCAGGGTTCAGGACAGGATGGAAAGTCAGCAGAATATGGGTATATAGTTATAGGGTTCAGGGTATTTAGGATTTAGGGTTTACGGTTTAGGATTGCCATGGGTAGGCGCACTCAAGCCCGAAGACCGACCTCGACCGCTGCAAGCAAGTTGCTGAACCTCCCGTAAACACGAGCTATAATCTCAACTCCTAGCAACTCCCTTACTGCAATGCTCCGCTATAAAACTCTCCTATATAATCCCCTACATAGCCCCTTTAAAGAGTTTAGACTCCTAAACCCTAAACCCTATATAGCCCCCCTTTAGAGATTTTAGATAGAAGGTCACATTACAAAACAAGGGGCGATCTTCCTGATCGAAGGGCTGGAAGATGCGCTCAAGGCAGTCTGGAGCTATGCCAACCTGGGTTGCTGCGTCAACGAACTTAACTTGTGTCACCATTCTTTTTTGTGGGTATGTTGGGGGTTTAGGGTTTAGGGTCTAGGATTGCCATAAGATGGGAATCTGGTAAATAATCAGGTTTCCTTATGGTAGTGACCTACTTCAAGTTCCTTAACAGCAACCCAGCAACGCCAGTGTCTCTCACATCAACAGTCACATACTGCTCCACATCATCAGCAGCCGCAGATATGGTCACAGATCCCTTGTTTGTGAACTTGACAGCATTGGAGATCAGATTGAAGAACAGCTGTGTGCACCTGTAGGCGTCCGCTTCAATCACAGGCAAAGGCTGAGAGATGGCATTCACGATCTTCACGCTGGGCTTCAGTGCTGGCTCGCCTCGCTTGTCCACGGCCTCTTGGCAAAGCAACATCACCTCCTGGACGATGCTGCTCAGCTGTACCGGATCCCTGGTCAAGACTGTGTTACGTCGATGGACCAGCTTCGACGCATCCATCATGTTGGAAACGGAATCCTTAAGTGCTCAAACGAAAGCATCGAAAGCATCAGGCTTAAGCCACGGGTCTCCCTTGCACTGCAGCCGGCTTCCATTTGCCTGCTACGTTAACAGTGTTGAATGGCAAGTTTCAAGCAACCGCTTTGCGCAGTTGTTGATCATCGCCAGGGGCTTCTTGGGGCACTCGATGTTTACTTTCTCATCAAGCAACAGGGAGTGACTCAAGCCGATGATGCCGTGCCTTAGCTGCGAGGGTGCTGTCAGCCAGCCCTGCTGATGTTTACTGCAGTTGTAAAACCAGCAAGCAAAGCTGGCCAAAACAATTAAACCCTAAACCCTAAAGAGTAGTTTCCATGTTCTTTTCCATTATTCTTATATAATCCCTACATTCCCCCTATACCAGTATCATCTTCATAAGCACTAGGAGCCTCGGGTCCCGGACACTGAAGATGGCACCAGTTTCCCAAGAGAAGGCTCCCAATTCCCATGCAGGGCTTAGCTTGGGCTCAGCATTCCACGAATAGACCGCCCAGTTACAATTCGGTGAGACGAATAATAGTAGCAGTCCAAAGAATAAAAGCTGTAATCCTAACAGTAATGAAACGAATAATGGTGCCAGGAAATCTCTCTTTCAGCAAGCCTTAAGGCAATTGTTCCTTCGAGAATCAGGAGTCGCAAGGCCGATCAGAAAACCTTTGCAGCTTGCAGTTTGTCAAAAGACTGCCCAAGGACTTCAAAGCAAATTTCTTAGACGAGGGGACGTTTTGGCCCCGAGCTGCAAGGATCCCAAAACCAAGCTTATCAAGAAGCCTCGCAGCAGCAATGCATTCCATCCTTTTGCTTTGCATGTTTGAGCAGGGGAGTTGGAAGGGTTGTAACGCGCCAGAGGTACAGAGGAGACTTCAGCTCATGCGAGACCATTGCCATCATGGAAGACTTCCACTCGTCGATGTCTTTTAGCTTGGTGACATCCTTCCAAAGATTTGAAGAGCAGCTTCGCCGCAGCTCTAATCTTACAGGCCAGCTTGTGCAAATGAGCCATTGTCCCCCTTAATAACCCCTATGGTAGTCCCCTATATAATCCCCTTATATAACCCCCCCATTAAGGAGTTTAGACTGTAGCTCAAATGAGCCCGTTCTGCAAAAACGACATGGAGCGCCGGAATGAAGCAGGGAGTGATGAAGAAAACTCATCTAACCTACCCCAATAATGGAGAATCAAATGGAAAAGAAAATCGAAAATGAAATGGAAACTGGGGTTTCTATAGGGGATTATAGGGATAAGAGTTTCCCAAAATTAGGGCTACCTACTATAATGGAGAATCAAATGGAAAAAATGGAAAATGAAATGGAAACTGGGGTTATATAGGGGTTACATTGGGGATACTTTTCAAGTTGCTAGGTGCGCCAAAGGCGGCGGTTGTCAAAATGGTGCGGTTGCCGAAATGGTGATGGCAGTTCTCTCACGGTGTCTTTCGAGGCCTTTCAGTGCCTTTCACCGACCAAGGAAAAGAGGCCCAAGAGCTGTCAAGCCCAGCTACATCCACAAAGCCGGAAATTATGCCTGGAGGCTTGACTATTTTGGTTTGTTGTTTTTTTGTAGAATTCTTCTTCGGAGCCGGTTCCAGGAGGTCGAAGGATTTTGTACATGTTGGTGACAACAGATGCCAGAAATCGATTGTGGGCTTGCACTTGCGCAATGGGTAGGCTTGGCTTTGACTTGCCTGGCTCCTTGTTGTCAGCTGGCTTCATGCCAAGGTTGAAGAGACCTAGCAGCTATCTACAAACAAAAATTGCTACACTATGCCACTGCAATCACACAGCAAGCCATGTTCGTGCCTATCTTGACCACGAACCATTTCTGGTCCAACAGGTACAATTTGCGCTGCCCCATCTCAGCCCTCTACAACACAAAACTTCAAAAGCCTTAATGCTGCAGCCTGAAACCTGAACCTAAACACCCCCAAAAAAGTGTAGCCCCGGTGTCCTGGCCAATGTAGAGCGTTCCCACCACATTTCTTTCCCGATCCAAGCGTGAGGTGGTGTTCATGCAGAGGGTGATCCTGAGCTGTGGATTGCTTAGCAGGCAGCCTTCTCTTACAAGTGATTAGTAGGGTTTAGGGTTTAGGGTTCAGGGTTAAGCCCTTCTGGCCCGAGCGCCTACCAGCGGCAGGGCGGTTCGGACTGAGGCTCGGGGTGGTGCGCCATGGATCCTCTTCATCTGGAAAATTGGAACCCAGTAGAGGGCAACTTCGGCGTTGTGGCTATGGTACTGGATATCCATGAGGATGGTTCCTTGTCCTTGCGTTCTGTCATTGACAGGAAGGTCTTTCGAGCGATTTGTTGACGGTGCTCCGGTGGTTAATGACGAGGTTTCTCTTTTGGACTTCTCATTGATTTGGGACGGTGCTTTGTTTTGGGCTTGTGAGAAGGATACTTCAGTGTGGTTTGTTCGAGCATCCAATTGCCTGGATGGCTTGGGCAAGATGAGAGAACTGTGTGCAGGCATTGGCGCCTTCGGCTCCGGTACTGAGCTCGCTGGCTTTCCGGTCATCTCTGCTGTTGAGGTACAGCCCCGCACCTGTGAAATGTTCACTAAGAATCATGATGTGCCTATCATTGAAGGCAACCTTTGCGATGCGGGAGTGATTGGCAGAATGTGGAAGGCAGCGCCAGGCCCTGCTGGGGTTGTCTGTGGCTTCAACTGTCAACCGTTCAGCATGTTTGGGGATATGCGTGCCCAACATGACAGTAGATCTTACACACTGCCAGGGACACTGAAAGCCTCTCACTGGCTCCAAGCTCCATTTGTGCTGCTTGAGTGCGTGTGCCCAGGTGGGTGAGACAAGTCCTTTCCACATTTTGTGCGGAAACAGGTTTTGTGCAGAAGGAGAGAGAGAGAGAGTTGGAGCTTTCACATGTGTGGCCTTGTCATCGCCACAGATGGTGGCCTACTGGTGCACCCTTCTCTGCAGGCACTTCGCCTGGTGCCATGGCCGGCTGAAGGCTTGTTCCATTCTGTGTCCCAGCTTGTTGATTCCTTTGCAATTGCTGATGATGAATGCCAACAGCTTTTGCTCACGGACCTTGAGCAAGACACCTTTGGGGGATTGAAGCCGCTGAATGCGTACTGCCTGCGTGTCTCAGGGAAGCTGCCTACTGCCCCACACTCGTGGGGCTCGCAGATTTACTCGTGTCCTTGTGGTTGCCGCCCTGCCTTCTCGGAGGCGCTGTTGAGTAAGGGTATTAGTGGGGTTCTAGTGCCTTGTTTGGTTCCCGCGTCTGACCAGCCTGCGTGGAGACATCTGCATCCCAAAGAACTGGCCGTGCTGAATGGATGTGATCCAGGGTGGGACTTTGGGCCTTCGCTTCGCCTCAGCCTCGCGTTGTTGGGCCAGGTTGCGAGTCCATTGCAAGCCGCTTGGGTTCTCTTCCAGTTGAGGGCACAAGTCAGTGGGGTTGCCAGCGGTGTTCGCTGTGCACTTTTGGGGTTGTGTGCTTTAAGGGCAAGGCTGGTGAGGCAAGCTGCGATCGCAGGTCTCTTGTCGGAGGAGGGTGCAGTTAAAGCACTCAAGCTGTTGTTTTGCCCGTGCTGACCCCAAACCCTGCCTTCCACAAGGTGCTCTCCAGGTCCAGGCGCAGGTATGTGGGGGTGCCCCTGGTATGCACGCAGTAAGACTTTTTGAGTCTTCAGGCGGTGCAGCTGGTCAGATTGAAGCAAGGGGGTGCCCAGCTAGCCATTGCACCGTGAATCCCGGCATCCCAGAAGCGGGCGTCCTTCCTCTGGCCCAGGTTTGCATCAGCAGGTGGCCGTGACGTCTTGCACGAAAGAACAAGAGTGGTGGCCAACCAGTGCCCAGCAAATTCCCCTAACCCGTGCGCATGTGCTCCTGCGCTCCTCCCTAACCCTGTCTCCTCGCCTGGAGGTGGTCCAGGAAGTGCCTTGTGTCTGCGAAATCGGGGCACCGAGTTGGATAGACATTGCCAGGCTGTGTGCGATGTTGTGTGGCCGGCTCAGGCAGAGGTTGCCTTCCCTAACCCGTGTCCTGACTTGCTTCGCCCAACCCTGCCGCATAATGCAGCCAGTCTGGATGGTATGGCTAAGAGATTGCCAGCAGGTCAGCCGGAGCACACTGAGGTTAAGCGCCAATGCCTCATTCGGGAACTTTGCCCTTAACCTCCCGTTGCCCCCTGCCCGTGCTCTTGAGGCGTTGTCAGGGCCTGCTAGCAAGTTGTCCTGTCCAGGGACCAGGCCAGTTGATTTTCGACGTGGAGGTCTGCCAGCCCAAGCGCAGATAGAGCCTGCACAAACAGGCACGCGGCCATTCCAACTTGTCTGTCCATGCCCAGTCACCGCTGGAGTCTTGATTGATTGCCTCTGTGTCCAGGGTGATTTGCCTGCATGCCAGCTGTTAACTACTGAAGGCAATCTCATTGAGCGTCGGGCCCGTCTCGCTGAAGGTCAGGTTGTTGTTGTTGCAGCTGCCTTCTCACCGGGCGAGGCCCCAGACCTTGCTAGCTTCTGTGCTACACCCCAGGCCCTGCGCCAGTTGCTTGGGAAAGGCATCCCCTCCTCTGTTCGAAGGTGTCTCTTGCACTGCCAGGACGGTTGGGCAGCGGATGATCAGATTGCATATGCCTTTGAATCTTTGAAAGGCTGAGGTCACAGGTTGCTGATCTCTATGTCATAGACCCATTGCAGGCTATGCATGCCATTTCGATTGGTGATCTTAAGTGGTTGCCCACATTGCCGCAAGCAAGCTGCAAGCCTTGGCAAATCATCTCTGCCATTTGTGTTGCTGGACATTGGGCCCTTTTCCGCTGGAAGTTCACTGTTGGGGCTGTTGTTGCCTGGAGTAGTGACCCCTCTATGGTTGCGCCTCAAATAGACCAACTGCATGCTCTCCTTGCCAAGGGCGTTGGGGCCAAGCTGAGGCACTTCCGCTTTGCACATTCCAAGGTCATTCAAGATGAGCCGGGTCAATGTGGATGGGTTGCCCTGC